ACACTTTAACTCAGGCTTTGCGGCTTAGAATCAGCTTAGAAATTTTACCCTTACACTACTTCCAGGCCTGGCCCACGGAACCTCCTGGACAATCCTAGTTCTTTCTCTCCTCTCATTTGCTGCCCAGGAGTAGAGGGTTCCATGGCCTCCCTAAGGCTTAGAGGTAATAGAGCCTCCAGTGGGAAGAAACTTAGGTCCCTGAGTGACTGTGTGGAGCAGAGCCTTCTCATGGACCCACATTGTGCTAGGACCGGAGTGAGAAGTAAACTTGAGTTAGGGGTTTTGTTCCTGCAGCTAGCTTACACTTTGGAACAGCAAATGGGTACTGTGCTACCTCTCTGGCAACTTCTCTTTCTTTTTCCTTTCTTTATCACCTAAACAAAAGCACCTGCCAAGTGTCAGAGCTCTTCTGTCCACTTTCCCCAGGTCAGCAAGTGCCCCCTGATTTCTCTTCTTGAGCCACCCAGCAGTTACCCACACAGGCAAATGCCTCTGAACCTAGACTCCTGAGCTTCTCCCCAGAGTGCTTCTCTCTCCCAGCCTCTCTTTCGCTGTCACTCCCTGGCCTCAAGCTTCTGCTGGTCAAATCAGGTAGGCGTCTCTATGTGTTTTCAATTCCCCTTCCTCCTCATGGCCTGCACCAGGCAGAACACGGTCACTCCTTCTCCACCGCCCCTCCCCACTCTTCCCCTCACCTCTGAGTCCTGCTGGCTCCAACTCTGTCCTCCAGCTGGGTGGTGGCTGTGCCAACCCCTACCTTCACRTTACAGAACCCAGGGTTATGTCCACATCAGCCCTTGCAGGGACTGTTGCAATAGATGTGTTTAAAAAGTAGGACATATTTTAAGCAAACAGAAATGCATAGTTAATATAACTAACATTTGTACCAATCACCAACTTTGTCCAGAAGTATTTGGCTCTATATGAAAATGAAGGGAGAAAAGAGGGGAAATGACTCAATCTAGGGAATGAAAGGCTATGTTTTCTCTTATGTTGTATTACATGGAATTTTACAGTAAAATTTCACACTAAGGCTTATGTATAGTACCATATCTAGATTCTTCTTTCCATTTCCATGTTTAAATGTTTTTCCTCTGTTGCATAAACCTTTGGTGTAACAGAAACCTGATGTCAGCACACACCCCAAATGATTTTATATGCATTTTTACAGAAAAAAAAAGTCATTTGAGCTGCTCAATTTCATACATGGAACTAAATATTTTTCTATGGATTATCATCAACTCTCAGAATCAGAAAATGAATGGGAAGCCATCTATCTATCCTTCTATCTATGAACATCTGTCTCTGTGTGTATAGAAAAATAACTACATGTATTTTAAAATAAATTTTTAGATATATTTGAAGCCCCCAACTGCCTCTGCTAGAGATACATATCTAGTTAAGAACTGAGTTTCTCTGGTTGTTGGCRAAGCTCAATGTTGTTTAAATGCCTTTGGTTTTTCAAACGTTCTCATCTGCTTTGTTTTTAACCTATATGCCATTTGAGAATGATTTGTCCCTTTTCAATTGATATGAACGACCTCTTGACAAATCATGGCCTCTGATCCTTCATCAGGTATCTGCAGAGCAACAACAGTTCCAAGTCTGCAGCTCCCCCTCTTACCTTATTCCCAGGACCTTCTTCTGTACCACAGTTTTCTATTTTAATACAGTCAATAACATTACATTTTTTTACCCTTTGTGCTTTGGGCCTTTGATGAGCTACTTAAGAAATCCCTCTGCAGCCTGAAGTCATAAAAACTCCTGTATTTTTGTCTAAACATTTTATTGTTCAGCTATTCATGTTGAGATCTAAACCCCACCAGGAATTTATTTTTGTGTGAGACATAAGGTAGGGACCTAATTTTATCTCCCCCAGATGGAGAGCTAATTGTGCTCCCGATGCCTGCTCTGCTGCATATCACACTCCCACCCATCCATGGGCTGCTTCTCGCCTCTCCATCCTGTCACCTTGGCCGACTTCCCGGGGAAGGATGGCACAGTAATTATCATCACGTTACTGTAAGTCTTGGTCTCTGGTGGGTATGGCCTGCCTCCTCCCCACGTTCTTCTCCAGATCTGCCTCGGCTGTGTGTTTTGGTTTCCTGTTGCTGCATAACAGACCATCTCAAGACGCAGTGGCTTGAAGCCACCACTGAAAAATAAAAGGGACGAGCTGAGGAATGAGTCCTCCCATGTGGCACCAAGTGCCTGAAGAGGAGGAGAGGCATAGGAAGCAGGGGCTATGCAGCTGCTGACAGACCCTCAGGGATGCTGCTCCTGGGGTGGGTGGCTTGGACATGACAATGACCTCACACCTCCTGGGGCTCCAGGGGTCAAGGATGAGCACTCCCCTCCTACCTYGACCGTGGGGCCTGGGGTTTAGGGGTGGCTTGGTTGCCATGGAGACCCAGCACTGAGAAAAGGGAAAGGCTATATACCGCTCTGGAAAGGGACTCCCAGGTCTTTGGTGGTCACAGGGCCAGCTCCCTCCCTGGGGATGGGTGGAAGGACCACCTAAGTGCTGGGGTCTAATTGTGAACTGGGAATCTCTCCCCTTGAACTTTCCAGCCCACCTTTCTCAACCTGAGTGCCTGGCCCCACAGGTCTGCTGTACCCCTGTGATCCCCTCCTGCCTCTGGAGGCTTATATCACAAAAGCTCATGTTCCACTACCCTTCCCCAACCCCTGCAGCATTCCTCCAGCTGTATCTATGCCTGTTTGTATTGTCACTAGTGTTTCATACACACACACACACACACACACACACACACACACACATATACACACACATATTCTTAAGTAAACAGGGACTCAGAAATGAAGTTGTTGAAACTTCAGAGTCTAGGATCTACCATTTACTAGCTGTGTAATTTGAGGGAGTTACTTAGCTTCTCTGTGCCTCAATTTTTCCATCTGCAAAATGGGAGAAAGTAGTTCTCTTTGGGGGATCTTGGAGCCATTAATCCACATGGAGGAATCTGGCATTCCATGCTCTCTCCATGTTGGCCTATTGAAATTAACTTCTGTATCCTCAACCCCAAGCCAAGTGTCTGGCTGTCTGTGGCACTCATAAATATTTCTCTAATGAACACAGGTCAGCCAGCTCCAGGACCTCCAGTCCAAGCTAACCCTTCGGTTTTGACAGTTGGAGAGGAAACTAAATCYCAGGATAACTCCTGGGGTGGTAGCCAGCCTTGCAGGCAAGAGACCCAAGTTGGGGAGCACATGGTGAAGATGGGCTCCCCCAGTGGGTACATAGGAGAAAATATAGACCAAAAGCAGAAGTGCTGCTGGGGGTCATGAAGGACCAGAGGTCAAGTGTGGCTGCTGGTCAATCCCAGTGACCTCCTCAGAGCAAGGCTGGGACAGGTAGAGTCAGAGTGCAGCCATCGCCTCCCTCTAGCAGTCAGATCTGGATTGCAGGAGGAGGGTTGGGCAAGTGGAGCAGGGCAGAGACCCCAGGAGCCAAGGTGACACTCAGAGACCCCAACTCCCTCCCTACGCCCACCTCCCACAACCTGAGGGCCTGGCCCTACAGGTTTGCAGACTGTGTCCCACAGTGACCGAGGCCGAGGACAGACCACATCAACACTGATATCCTGCCATCGACACTGCAGATGATGGCAGCACAGATGTCACAGTCAGAGATCACAGGAGCTTGCTCGCCTTCCTCCCAGAGGAAGACCTCATCCTGGAAGCCCAGCCCCCTGGATCCCAAACCTCCCATCCTTCTCTTGCCCAACCACTCACTCCCTTTCTGGCCATGGTGCAGCCTGGCCTTAGTCCCACCTTGTGGGCAAGGCCAAGAGGTCTCCTAGTGACCGAGGGCAGGCCATGTCCTGTTCCACAAAAAACCTTCACAAACCAACTGCCTGAGCAGGAATAGGCGAGCTCCCTTCATGGAGAGACTGAAGGCCAAGCTGAGTCCACGGGACTCTTTACTGGGGCCTGCAAAGTGGGGTTTACATCCCACCGGCAGCCAGGTCCAGTGACCCTGGAGAAGTGACAAACCTGCAGTTCCCAGTGAGCCTCCTCAGAGACAGCAGAACACTATCCTGCTGCCACCTGACCTGGAGTCCCCCCTCCCCCTGGGCTCAGCACTCAGAGTCACTCTTTGAGGGCACATAAAGAAAAAGAGACCCTGTCTCCAGCAGGGCCCTGCCCAGCCTGCTGGGCATGACTAAGATGCGGGTATAATGCCTTCCACGGAGGGCAGAGGAGCCCGAATCAATTCGGAGGGAGTTGTGTGAATGGCCACAGGGAMGGAAGCTCCCCCACCCACACTACTTGGCAAGGGCAAGGGCTCAAGAGTAGTGGGCACTGCCCACATCCCACTGTTCTTCGTGGCAGAGTCTGAGAATCCCAAGGGTGGGAATGGAGGTAGAATCAGGAGGCCAGGCAGGAGAGGAGGGAGCTGGGGTGGGCAGCGCTCCCCAGCGCTGGCCTGGAAACTCCGAGAAGCACCAACAGGGGAACTTGCACAATCTGGCAGGATTTTGTGGCCCCTGGTCAAGAGGAAGTGATGGTCACACAGGGAGGCAAGAAATGGGTTACTCAGATGGGCTGGGGTTGTGGCTCAATGATAGAGCGCTTACTTGGCACGGGTGAGGCACTGGGTGTGATCCCCAGCACCACGTAAAAAACTGCATAAACAAAATAAAGATATTGTGTCCATCCGCAACTAGAAATATTTTTGAAAAAGAAAGAGGGAAAGAAAAGAAAGAAAAAAATGGGTTACTCCGAGGGCCCCAGGCCCCTGCCTAGTTGGACTCTGCTGTAGCACTCTTCCTAGCCCCTGGGGGGCGGTACTGGGGAGGGACCCAGAAACCCCTCTCTTATGCCCACAGCTTGTCTATGGCAGCACTCTGCCTCCAAAGGGCGTGGCCCCTGACGGCTTGTGGTCATCTCTGCCACCTCAAGTCCCCCCCATTGCTGGTAGAGTCGCTTTGTACCTAGGGAACATTTTGGCCAGTGGTCACTGCCTGGTGAATTCTGCTTCAATTCCCAGGATCCCCACTGAGGGCGGCTGGCGGGGAGGGTGGCAGTCTTTTTCCGGTCACGCTGGCATATTCCACAGTCTGAAGGGGGTGGGGAACGGGCTTTGGGTTGGAGTTGGGGTGAGTGTTACTGTAGATGGGGTCCTCAGTGCCAAAGTGGTTTAGATGGATGAGGGACGCATAGCAGATGGCCGCAGTGTCCTCATCAGAGAGAATCTGCTGACGGAAGCCCTGGAAATCAAAAAAGATAGACGTCCCACTGTACAGATCACAGCTGCAGTGGTCAGGGGCCCTCAGAGGGCCCGGAACTGAGTGGAGGACAGAGATAAGATGTAGGATAAGGCATGGATCCTGCAGAGCCTTTGGCCGTGAATGGCTTTCATGGTCACCGCACATGAGGAACAAGGCTACGCAGTGTGGTCTGTGAAGCAGCCTCATCAGCATCACCGGGAACTTGTTAAAAATGCAGAACCAGGCTCCACTCCAGAGCCACAGAGGCAAAGWCCCTGGGGAGAGGGCTAGAACACGGGGTAGGGGTGTTATTTGTAGTGTGATCCCAGCATTACACAAGGGCTGAACCCGAGGACTTGARGTCCTTCCCATCCTATGTTTCTGTGACTCCATCAGGTATTTAGACGGGACAGGCCTACCCAAGAGAAGCTGCCCAGTCCTCAGCCCTGCTGAGAGTCCCTGAGGAGCATGCTGCTTCCCGTGTTGGCCCCACGCAATTGAACCCAGGCAGCCAAGCCCTGGGCAGGCTCTGGCCCGACCTCTTAGGAGAAGCTGCCTCCTGTGAAGGCCTGGGGTGAAGGTCAAGAGCCAGGTCAGCCAACTCTCTCCAAGGAATGTGAATTGAGGAGTTTGGGGAAAGGAAGTGAGTAGATGGGTCTCAAGCAGCCATKAGTATGTCAAGGTCTGGGGTGAACAGAAACTGTGAGAAAGCGCAGGCTGGGAAGTTAAGGTATGTGGGAAGGCTGTCTGTCTCTGTCCCAGGGGAGGGCTGTCCTACTCACAGGGGCTTTCGCCTCCTTGTGGTCTGAAATGTCCTCATAGATGTGGTGGGATTCCTTCTCACCTGTGAAGAAGACTCAGACTTAGGGGAAGGACCTCTACCCAGCTCCCGTGGAATAAGGCAGAGAGACCAGGCCCTGGCTGGGTGGAAGGGACTCTGCTGGGAAGAGGCCAGAGCTTGTTCCTGCCTGGGGAGGCCTCAAGGGCCTGGYACAGAACAGTATCCAGGGACACTACGGAGCAAGACAACCCAGCTGCCYGTGTCTAACTGGCCCAACCTAGGTAAACTTCATTATCAATTCCAGTGCACAGAGAATTCCAAATTTAAACATCAAATTTAGGTAGGATCTATTTGCTGATGCAGYTATYTRCWGTAATGTCTTTCAAATTTTTTGAACCAGGAACCCCAATGAGAAATACCATTTACCCCACAAACTCACACTCTCACACCTGGGCACTCACTTTTCAAAGTTCAGTGAGAAATTGTGTGAAGCATTTTGAYGTTTTGCTTTTCTATTCTGCTTTATAAAAATGCTGTTGTGACCCACTAAACTGATTTTATACCGTTTGAAAAATATACATCTAAAATTTTATAATCCCCTTCTTCCCCTGAGGATTTGTACTTGAAAAATTCATATCCACGAGCTCCGATATACTTCTGACCCATGCATACATTTTAATCTTGTTGTCAACAGAACCATCTCCAGGGCATACAATTAACAAGCACATAGTTTCATGTTCTAAAGAAAGCAATCAACAAAAAAGAATCAAGAAAAGTGGTAGAARTCATCAAAGTGCGGCAGACTTCACATGCAACTGATGATAGAAACTTTAAACTTTGAAGATTAAAGTCCTAGAAGTGCTTTTAGGAGGGCAAAAAAAAAATCCCCTTTGTTCCCCTTTCATTTATGTATTTTTAAATTTTATTGTGGGGCAGAGGGTGTAGCTCAGTGGTAGAGCATGTGTTTAGCACGCCTGAGGTCATGGGTTCCCTCTCCAGCACATGGAAGAAAAAAAAAAATCATTGGGTATATTTAAGGTGTACAACTTGATGTTACAAAATATATAACCACAGTGAAATGGTTACCATAGTAGAAGAAATTAACACATCCTCTCCTCATTACCCATAATCCTCCCTGTGGCAAGAGCAGCTATAATCTCCTGGTTTTGCAGAAGTCCTGCACAGAATGTGCCATTATTAGCACAGCTCACATGTTGAACATTAGGTCTTTTGTCTTGTTCATCCTGGATATTTGCTACTTGGTGTCTTTTGGCCTCTATCTCCCCATTTCATTCCCTACCATGAGGAAGATGAAATATAAAAATGATAGCAACAATATTTTTTAAATGTCATTACCCGGAAAAGTTTGTTACATAGACTTGTTAAAAACTCCTTAAACATAAAGATGGTAAAAGTATACGATCCCAAATGGATAAACCTAGCACACCTAGATTCAGGTAAATGGGCATGGAGTTGAATTGGCTTCAGGTGAGCTGACCTTGAGCTTCTAAGGAGGACTGACTGGTTAACCCTCAGGACCAGGGGACCTGCCATCTGGCAAATGGAAGGAGAGCCACTTGGACACAGCACCTCTTCTCAGTTTCCTTGTTGGTAAAATGAGCATGATAAGCCTTGTTCCCCACCGTGAGAGGACTGCCTGTAATGGCTGAGCAGTCAGTAGTCCACCCAGAGCCAAGGACAGGGGCTCACCTTTCCTGTCTCTTCCTCGGACTTTCCTGAGATATAGGACCATGAGGACAATGAACCCCAGCAGCAGGACAGCCACCACCACGCCAGAGGAGATGAATATCCACTTCCGGTTGCCTGAAGGGCTTGGGAACAAGGACCAGCCAGGTGAGGGGAGCTGGAGTCCAGCTTCACCTCCTGCCAGAAAACCACCCCTCCCCATGCCTGTGGTCCCTCCAGGCCTTCCTGGGCTTCCCTTCTGTCCCTGCTGCTGGGCTGAGCAGGAGACAGTCACAATGGCAGCCACACTGGCAGGGGCTCTGCTTCTCACGGGTCTCACCTCTGCAAAGTAAGAATGGGGCTGATGTCATGAGATTTTTTTTTTCCTTTTCCTTTTCTGACCTTTGCACCTTAACTTTCCTTYCGGGCCGCCATTGGAGGGTCTGCATGCACCCCTCTTAGCCTCCTGAACTGACCTTTGTCCCTACTGCTTCACCCCAGCCCTTCTCTGCGAGGTGCAGTCAGCTCTCAGGGTACACTGGGGTCACCTGACAACAGCTCTGCCTGCTAATAAAGCATTTCCCTAGGTCCTGTCCTAAGCAGAGGGAGGACACAGAGGTAGGCAGCCTTATGCTGGAGCAGGCTCCTAGGGAAAGTGACTGGGCGTCAGGGTCAGAGGGGGGCCAGGGAGTAGTTCYAGGGACATCTCTCAGCTCCACTGACAGGCACCTGGTTTCTGGGCTAATCTCTTAACCTGGGATGGTTTACAAGAGCCCAGGTTCACAATCTGCAGGGAGGGTGGATAGAGGGCARGGGACAGAGACCCACTTTCTGGGGTGGCAGCAGAAAACAATCCGTGACTACAGACCACGCCTTTCTCCAGACGCCCTGCAGCTCTGGGATGGCCCCTGCTCTTTCTGAAGATGGAGAAGGGACAGAGGCAGAAGCCACAGCCATGGTCTTGCCTGGCATYGGGCTACATCTCTGGAATCCCCGCCCTCAGTAGTTGGGGGCACCMGGCACAGTCCACCAAGGGTGGGAGGAAACAGGGCTAAGAGATTGGGGGAGGGGCTCAGCAGTACCTTCCAATGACAGGGCTGGTGGCAAAGGCCATGGCTGTTGTCATTCTGATGCTCCTGGTGGTGGGAGGGGTTGAAGCTGTAAGAGATGACAATACGTGGAGTGCCCATCTGCTCCCCTGCACTCCAGGTCTCCCACTCCCAGATCCTAGCCCTGGATGGGAGGAGCCCACACATGGCCTTGGACCAGAAGGGGATGTGCTGCTCCATTTCCCTCATCGGGAAGTGCCACAGCGTGAGCGGCTTTAGTGTCACTTGTATATCGGTTATGTTGTGGGCATCTCTGTTTTTGCTATTTTTGAGCATGTCTTACACTTCCAACCCTTAAAGCCTCCCTCTAAGCACCCCTGGGGTCTCCACTAAATAGATTCCTGCTCATCATCCATCAAGGCCTGGGGGGTACCACCTCCGAGTCCTTTCAGGGTGAGAGGCTGCACCCTGGGCTTGTCCAACCCCTCCCTTCACTGGGCCTCTACCCAACATGCTTCTATTGAGGCACCTACCACCCTTTATGCACATGTCTGTCCTAGCCCTTTATTAACATGTCTGGGCTGTGGGGTCCTCCAGCATACAGTTGGGACTTCAGGTTTGGGCTCCCCTTCCACAGCCTAGCCTGGCCCTGTGATGTACATGGAATGAGCACTGAGCTAAACTCGGACAGCAAATGGCCAAGAATGACCTCCAGGCACTTGTTAGACCAAATGGCTGGGCAGACTCAGCTCCACGGAGAGAGGGGGCTGAGAAGGTACAGTTCGAGCTCTGATGTCACAGATAAAGGCAGGGGGTCGCACCTCTGCAGTTCTTAGAAAGAATACCCAGGGGCCTCAGAATTAGCGATCACCCCTAAATCGCCATTCTAAACCCTAAGGCTCTCAGTGGTTAGGGGCAGGTCCAGGGTGAGGATCCTCAGGTGTGACACCTCCAGGTCTCAGCCCTTGAGTCTCCCGCCTGCCTGGCTCTTCAGCTGCCTCCTGTCTGTTCACATTTCTCCASGACCCACCCCACTCCCAGAACCTCCCGGTGGTCTTTCTGTGCAGSGGACCCCACAGCCCCTCGAGAGAACCCTGGGGTTAGGATCAGGGGTGGGGATGTCCAAGAAAGGACTGCTCCTCGGCTGTGCTCAAGCTTGGGGACGCTCTAAGTTCCTTCCAGATAGATGGCAGCATCCTGTTGGTGACAGCAACAATGTTAAGAGAAACACGTGAAGGAAGAATCGATTGGAAACCAGGAGGCTCCAGTTTCTAGGGCCAGTTCAGCCCTCGACCACCAGGTGACGGTGGGATGCACCCCGTGACGCGACGTGAGTGGTTTTTCACTCAGTACTGAGCCACGGGGAGTTAGGTCTCCCCTCGGGAATGATCCCAGCTCTACCAATGGGACAGCCCTCGAGCTCAGGGATTTGGRCRTTACCCTCSGCTTGGACAGCCCACCTCCTACCTTATTTGGCAAAAGAACATTACTTTGAAAGCCTTTTGAAGCCCCCTTGTATAAACAAAGAAAACCTGGGTTCTCACTCTCTCTTCCCAGTGTGGAAGCAGGACCCTTCAGGTCGCAGAGCGGCCCCACCCTCATTTTTCAAAATTATTGCTGTGTCGTGTGATTTTTCACCGTATTTCTCAGCCAGCACATTTCACGCAAGGGAAGCCCAAATGTCATACCCAGCATGGGACTCAGGAGAGAAGAGTAAGAATCAAGAGGTGACCTTGAGCAAGGGGCTTTTCTTCTTGTGCCCCAGATATTAGGTAGGAGAAGGTTGGAGAACATGACTTCTAGGTCCTCTCCAGCTCTGACACCTTGTGATTATGGAAGGCCAAGAGCCACATATATAAGAAGGGGGATAGCTCACCTTTAGACACCTTCAGATGGATGGTTCTGAGAATGTRGACCTCGGTATTTTCATAGATTCCACAGTAATAGACTCCGGAGTCGTTTACCCTGAGTGCAGTCATAGTGACGTCGAAGTAGTCAAGCCTGAGATGATCCTGGATGGAGGATCGGGGCTCTTTCCTGCCCCTGCCCACTAGTAATCTACAATAATTTGCTGACGTTCTCCGACACCAGGTCTTCACCTTTGAGCGTTGGTCGGTCTTGTACCGGCATCTCACTACGATCATCTCTCCCTCTGGTTTTTGTAAGAACTCTGTGTTCTGTGCCCAGGAGCCTGAGAACACACCCTCAAGTCAGAGAACCCCCACAGCAGGGCTAGGAAGTGGGGTTTCCCTCCTCAGAGAGCAAGTTGTTGTGGCTACCCTCAGAAAGTGCCCCAGAGCCARCCTCTGGCCACAGGGCACCCTTTCCTGGCTCTCCCCTCTGCAGAGCCCCGTTTGTGCGTATCTCACCTCTCCATCCTCCTCTCCTCTCTCCCGTGCCCTTCCCTCCTCCCTGGTTTCTTACCTGAGGCCAGGAGCACCATCAGGATGAGGGGGATCAGGTGTGTGGCCTCCTGGGCCATGGGTCGTCTTCTTGAACTGCAGTGGACAGAGGACTTGAGGGGGCAGGGAAGCCCTGAGATCAGGGAGCAGAGCTGGGTGGGATTCAGCCCAGCCACCCAGCCTGAGCTAGGTGAGATGCTGAAGATGGCAGAGATCTTGTAGGGAAGCAGGGAATCTGGGGAGGACAGAGGAGGTTTTGACCTTCATGGACCCTCCAGCCCTCGGCTTGACCTTTGGGTTTGGAAGGCTCGCAGCCCTGGGACTGACCGCCTAGGCTCCTCCAGGACACAGCCTCTTCCCCTTTGTAGGCCACCCCCCTGGCGAGGGTGTGGGAGGAGGAACCGATGGTGAAATAAGAGCCATTTCTCTTCCCTCCCCCAAGTCAAGGAACTGCTGAAGGTGGGTGACAGAGTTAGGGGGCTTTTTGGAGATCTGACCAGAGTCCTAAGTCCCATTGGTCCCCAGTGGTTGTAGACTTGGTGTCCAGGGCTTCCAGGAAAGTGGGAAGCCCTGTGGGGACCAGAGGAGAAAAGGAGGAAGAAGATGGAGAATCAGGGATGGGGAGGGTCCTGGAAGAGGTGGGAAAGAGCACAGCTGGTGGGGGTGTTAAATCCAGAAGGAGGGAGAGGAAGGAGAGGAGGAAAGCAGGGGGTCTCAGCCCCACATCATCCCCTCACACCAGCCCCCAGCCTGCCATCCGCACTCCACTAAGCCTCTGCTGAAAAACTGCTCTAATCAAGGACGATTTTAAACAGTTGTCATCAGRCGAGCTACGAAAACGATCGCGTTGCAGGTTCCAGAGAACAGACTGTGCGAGGCAGAGGGAGGGTTGATGGCTCTGGGAAAAGAAGCACAGGGGCAGCACAGGACAGGAGGAGTGGGTTGTCATTCAGGCCCCGGGGAAGCCCAGGGCCCGGTGCCTCGMGAGGCCTGAGGGCAGGAGAAGCCCTCCAGACTTGCCCAAGCTGGGAAAGGGACATCGGGGCCCCAGACCCCAGGCCAGTCAGTCGGAAGGTGCCAAAAGCCAAGTGCCAATGTCTCGGCTTGGCACAGAATCACGAGCCACCACACAGCTTTGTAGGTTCAAACA